ATACTGGCCTAGTGAGTAACAGTGACTTGGATAGAAGAAAAAATAAGGTATGGTTCTAGAAGGGCAAAGAGACTGAGGGCAATAGATAAAGTAGTATCTCTCATTTACCTTGGAACCTATCAAGTTAATAAATTATGCACAGCAAATCAAGAGATGAATATAGCTAATACTTCACTGAAATCTGTTCAAAGAATGCATAGTGAGCATAATAAAATTAGATAAGACCACCTTGATAAATGACTTTAGCATTATTTTCAAATTACTATAATTATATGTAATTATTGCTATTTTTACACATAACTTAGGAATTAGGAATGTAATTTACTACTAAGTCAGTTTCAGCTGTTCTCAGAATTCAAAATGTGGCTCAGAGAATACTTCACTAATGACCCTTATCAGGATGAGAGATTTGATAAAAGGATGATGGTGACTTTGTGATTGGGCCTGGGCACTGAAACTATATGTATGTATAAAGAATAAAAGGTAGATAAAAACAGTTATGAGAACCGAATAGAGAGACATATTTTAAAGGATCCTAATTTGCTTCTTTAAATTTCTTGCTACATTTGAGAGGTGGATAAAGATATGAATTTCAGATTCATACTTACCTTGTGTATTGTAGGTGTAATTTTAAGGTCTATTGAGAGTTTTTGTTCTTTCTAGGAGCCTGTAGGATAAGGTAGATCATTGTAACCAGCCACTCAGTAACCACAGCTAGTGAGTCTTTATTTCCCTTGGCTGGTAATTCTGCAAAATAAATCTTAGTTTAGAGTTTGTTTAATTCTTTGAAGGAAAGGCTTATATCTTACACATTTTATAAGCAAAACTATTTTTAGCCTCATTTTCAAGAACAGAAACACACACAGCTGGCAACAGTGCTTTTAAAATGTACGGCTTAAAAAAATTGTAAGGCTTAAATAAGCATTCTTTTGAAAGGGTATTTAAGAGGGCATCCACAGCTGGATGTTCTTGGCACTATGCTTGCTCTGTCAATCAAAGACTTTTCTACGGTTTAGGGCCACATCAAGTCCAATGAACATAACTAACATAACTTGAGCATGTTGCTGTAAACAGAGCACTGTTGTTAACAGCAGTATTTGAAATAACTAGAATGGGTTTGGTAGACCGTATTTATTTCCAACTTCTGCCACAGTTCTTGTTCAGTAGTGACTTAGCAGTGAACAGAGGTCTTTAAATTTGTGGGAAAATCTGCAAGACTGCCAGTAGTAACTCTTTTCTGGACTTTTTCCAGATGCAAAGTAATTAACCCCTTCCTCTCAAGGATAGTGTGCAGGCTACTAGCTGAATAAACAGAATACAGTTTGATAGGAGAAGCTAGATACAGCCAACTCCTGGTATCCATAACAGAAAAACTTTCAAGCTTGTTGAACCTACTAAGAACTCGGGAAACTAGTCAGGTGTGCCCTGGCCTGCTGTGTTGCCTTAGACATGCATGAACTCACCAGGCTGCCACTTCAGAGAATCAGGAGCAAATGTAGAAAATTAAAGGTGAGGTGCATCTGAAATATGTGAAATAGAGACTGAGTCACCCTGTAGTAGAGCATAGAGGGAGTAGGCTGAATGCTTTTGTATAGTGAACAGAGTCCTCTAAATTCGTGACATAATCTGAAAGTTTGCCAGCTATAACTATTTAAAGGAATTACTTTGTAACTAAACCTGAATGACCTGCACCAGTTAAACCAAAAGACTAAAATGAGTCCTCTGAATTTTCATAGCATTTCATTGAAAATCATCCTAACTGTAAAATCAAAGTTTTTTACTTTTGCAGCTTTTAGGTATATTAATTATTGAAAACAAATGTTGCAAATAGTAAGATACTGAAATTTACCTCTGCCGATCAAGGAAGGAACTGGATATACTCATGATGACAGCACAGTTATTGTAAAAGACCCAGTTTTCAAATATGTACTTGTACTTTGGAATACCTCAACATATGGCAAGAATATTCAATTGAATTGCTGTTTTGGGTTGTATAAAATCATATTTTGTATCCAAATGGATTAAAAATGAGAAGACCTATAATTTTGCATTATCTAAATTTGATTTGAACTATCAAAATAAACATAAAGGAAATTATATAATAAACTTTGCCTTGTGAAAATATTTGTTGAAGGATGTTACTCAGAGTGAGGTTAAAAAAAGGACACAATTATGCAAAGATTGGGGCTGAAAAATGTGTGTATTTCAGTATAAAGAAATTAAAATTGAGGCTATATTTTGTTTATCAGAGTTTGCTTTCAACTTACCAGTATGTTGGCACTTCTGGAAAAAATTTTCAATTAAAAATACCATGGTCTACAGAGAACCATTAGTTGAAGGTGTCAGTAATTTCAAATGTATGCAAATGTGAGGAAGATTTCAGGCAATCTTTATGAACAAATTGAAAAAAAGGAAAACCATGTTTAAGAAATGTGTTATTTGGAAAAATACCAGTATGTAATGTTGAAGAAAATATGCTAAAAAACTGATTAAAGTTTGTGAATATGTACCAAGAGTAAGTACATTGCTTATGCCAGTTTTAGAGTACACATAATTGATAAAAAGAAGTTTTGTAAAATTTGTTATCTAAATATACACTTATGTGTTAATATATATGTTATTATTGTTTTGGGGGAACTGATGCTTGAAAAAAGTATTCAATATTGCTACCAAATATAACAAAGTTTTCAGTCAATAAATATGTGCATCTAAGAATTACATAATTTTAATTATTTTTCTCTCTTTCTTGTTCTCAAAAAATGTACTGGTTTGGTCCATAAATAGGCCCACTAAGTGATAATATATGTGTGTGTGTGTGTGTGTGTGTGTGTGTATAGATGTATATGTATATATATTTACTATATAGTAATTTTTTTTTTCAACAGCAGAGATTTTAGACTTTTGGTGAGAGAGACTTAAAAGCAGCAGTCTGGTCATCTGGAAGTGGAAAGGACTTAAAAAATATAATTTCTTCATGTTAAACATTGGGAGATAGCATTCTGAAAAGAAAGGATGGCTAAAATAATCCCAAATTTCCTTTTGCCCTGTGACAGCCTACCAGACCTGAAGAAATTATGCTCATCGATCTTTATAACCTGCCACTATGCTCAGCATAATGCCATGTGCATAGAAGTTTCTAAGTAAATGATTGTGCAATGAAAGCAAAGAAGTGCTTTTGTGCAAGGAACCTTGCTTAATGTCGAGAACGCAAGATTGTTTAGGGCACAGTGTCTGCTCTTCAGAAGTTTTTCTATGAGGGAAAATAAAAAGCCAAAAATGAAATGTGAAATAAACTTTAAAGCAAAAATAAATAAATAAATATTCTAAATTAGTCTGAAAATTACAGCTTCATTATCACTGATGTTATTTCAAACAGCAGTGACTGTTAGTTATACAAGAAAAAATACTCCCCCTAAACCAAAAGTTTCTGTTTCTCTCTCTACTGGACACAAATTTTAATTATTATATTAGCAAATAATTTAATGGAAATGATAATATGATGTACATATTTATTTAAAATTTTTCTTTAAACATTATTTTACAACCATGAAACTGAAGGAATCAATGACTGTAAAGCTGCGTTGCAAAAAAGCTAAGTGGCAATTATATTGCTTAAACAAATGTAAATCAAAATTGTAGTGTTTCAAAAATCAATTTTCATTCCTAATTCTGTAGAATTTTGCTCGTGTTTTAGAAATTCTCAGAATTCAGAGTAAATGAATTAAATGTCAAGATCAACAAGCCTCAAACGCCATGGATAGGCTGGGAATAAACAGAACGGAAGTGTGGACACAAGCACAAATTATTTGGTTATTCATTTTTTAGTAAGGGGGTTAGCTATACTTTGAAATTTCTAAAACCAGGTGGGAGACTGGCTTAATATTTGGGAAATAAACACATTCAAATGAATGGAGCACGGGAGATGGAGAGCTCATGATTTTGGCATAAATAATAAAATAATATAGTACATTTTTTACTCTATCAGTTGACAGTACATTTACTTTCCCAGTAGAAATTTGTAATCTAAAGAATCCAGGTCCATGTGAGTGCAAACAACTGGGCTCTCCAGTTCAATAGTAACTGCCCATGGTCAGGCCCACTAGGGTAGTTCATCTGATTCTACCTTCTGATCTCGACCATGGACATCTTTCCCAACAGTGGCCTCTAAGGGTCATCAATCTGTCCAGAAGAGCAAGTGTCTGAGACCCAATCATGACTTCTTTGAAACTCCATCCGGTGGAGGCCAACTCTGCTTCATGAGGCGGGTGGGGAACGTTGCTCTACACTTTTTTTTTCCCCCTACTATTTTTATTTTTATAACATTCTGCCCAGACCTTTTCATGCTTCTTTCAGTGACAGGCTGAGAAAGTAAAAGCATCACCGGAATTCTAAGGCTTGAGAGGGGACCCAGATGATCCTGTAGAATGGTCTCAAGTGGCCTTTGGGGCAAGAGGGTTAAAGGAGGGGCAAGGGGCAACTCTTCCAGCTCAACTGCCACTCCTAGGAGCGGATACTGCCCCAAAAGCCAGCGAGTCACTCCGGCCAGGAAGACAAAGAAAGGCTCAGGGCCGAGTGGTGACGGGGTGGGTGGGGGCAGCGACTCGCGTGAGCTCAGGGACGTGAGAACGCAGCCCCCGCCCCCTTCTCCGCCCCGATCCCCTAGAAAGGCGGGGCCCAAAGCCAACCCCAGAGGGTCTCCCCGCCGCTTGGGCAGCGGGTCGCAGGCGGCCACACACGCCCAGGCACCGGCGGGGACGGAGGGCGTGGGGGCGGAGCCTGCGTGCGAAGAAAGGCCAAGCGACTGGCTGGGGGCGCGGCTTGGCCCGGCGGGTGAGGCTGCGGAGTGGGCGGGGCGGAGCCGGCCGGGTCCGGGCTGCCCGAGACAGTCACTGCCCTGACGGCGGCGGCGGCAGCGGCGGCTGCCCGGTGGGGGCTGGGAGGAGCACGACCGAGGCTGCCGGAGCAGCTGGAGCAGGCAGTTGCCGGGGGCCAGCAGGAGGGTTTGGAGCTGGGAGCATGCCCCAGGCCGGGCGGTGGAGGCGGCTGCAGCTGGACTCCGGGTATCGCTGGCGGCGGCGGCTTCTCGGCCAAACAAGTGTCTGAGGCTACGGGTCCGCAGAAGCGGCGGCAGGGGCTGAGGTAACCGAGGGGTGGCGGCGGCGGCGGCGGCGGCTGTGGAAACGAGGCCCCTCCCTCAGGTCGGAAGCTTGGGGATTGCGGCCAGGGCTCAGCCCCGACCCACCTCCTCACCATTCCAGTCTCGTCCCCAGACCCGACTTCTTTCCTCGCTCCGCCGCGGGCCGCGCCGGGGCAGGGAGCCGGACGCCGACCGGGAGGCGACCCCTCCTCAGGGATTGGCAAGGGCACCCCCTCCCCCTTCAAAAGACACACCCCAGTCTCGGGGCGGAGCGGGCTGTCGAGGCGTTCCCAGACTTCTGGAAAGGAAAACCTCAGTGTGGTGGCGGCCTCTCTGCCCGTGGCCTCTCCGAGGTGGCCCCCCTGTGGCTCCTTGGAGCTGCTCAAATCGAAGGTGGTTCCTGCCGCCGGGAATCCCGGAGTCCCTTTTGTCTGTCAGCTGAAATTGGAGGCCGGAACTGTAGGCAAACACCCACCAGCCCTGAAGCACTCTGCTCCATCCCTTCTCCGCCTCGGAAGGAGCTCCCCCAGCAGCCTTTCTTCAGCCACAGTAGTAGATGCCATCCCTCAGCCCCGTCCGGAACCTTCCTCTTTTTGACTCAGAGAAAGGAAAGCCTCACGTTGTTTTTGTGTTTGGATTTACTATTTGTGTAAAATCACCCCGCTGCTCCCCTTCTTTTTTCTTTTAACCCATTACTATCCAGCCGCAACCTTGGTACTCATTCCCTAGATTTTGCAAACTACCGACAAAGAAGTGTGGCTGGTTGATTAAAGAAGAGTCCTTGACTGGCTTAACTATTTTAAGTTAATAGAGCTTCCTTAACTGGCGCTGTTCTACCAAGCTAGTCCGAAAGACCTTTTTGGCTAGAGTTAAGGATGTTACTACATGTTCATAAAGCCTTTTTTTCTCCCTTCCACAGTAAGATTTAAAAATCTAGGGTAACTTGGTTAAAATGTAGCTGTTTGGGAAGTATAATTATAGAGGAAGGAAAATAAGGAAAGGAAAATGTAATTTTGATTCTGGGATAATTGTCCAACCATTTGAAAGTGCCAAAGATGAAATATATGGATTTTTGAGATTAAACTGGCAAATTGTATCCTTTGGTAAGTAAGCTTTTAACATGATATTTTGCACTAAGATATTTTTGTTTGTTTTATTTTAGTCACTTGTGGAAATTGTTGATTGCCCAGACATCTTAATAAGAGAAAATTATGAACAGGTTCATTCAGAATCTTCTATCTTGAAAAGTGCATTTTATGAATGCTTTGAATTCAGAAGGTGTTAACACTGATTGGACTCACTTCCGCCACATGAAAGACCGTAATCTGAAACATTTCCCTCCCTGGCAGTTGCCCAGATGCCAGAAACTGACATGGTCTAGTGCTTTGAATACTATCCTTCAACAAGAGATACAGAGCTACCTACCTACTGTGTACATGTAATCTCTGATGACATTTACTGTAATGGACACCTTTTCTGCATCTAATTTTCAGATACAGAATTAACACTTGGAATCTGGAGACGCATTTTGTACAAATTGAAAGATTGGACTTTCTCTTTAGTTTTCCAGATGTATTGTCTCATCCACATACTAGAAACATCCACAGTCACTTAAACTCTAGATACAACCATGGAGTTATGTGACCCATCAAGATATAGGAAAAGTGTTGCCAAGTTTTGGAACCAGGCAATTTTCTACCAGTTCAACAGTTAAACTAATATATTCTCTGCTGATGATCAAGAATAAAGAACTAAATAAAGTCATGCACATTCTTTTGGTAAATGGACTCTGTGGCAGTTGAATTTTACTGTAACTGGTTACTCTGTCATTCAAAGTCTCAACTTAATGGACAAGTTATGTCCTAATGGATAATAAAGACCTGTGTTGATGTATCCAGATTCTAGTAAATGTTGAAGATAAGGAATCCATTATGACTAATCCTTGGGAAGAGAAAATCTGCGAAATGGCTCAAACGAGTTTACTACAAGGGAAGCAGTTTTACTGTAGGGAGTGGGTTTTCCACAAGCTTCAGCACTGCCTGCAGGAGAAAACTAACTGCTGCAATAGTGCTGTCAACACACCATCCCTTGTAATGAATTCTGGGAATAATACTAGTGTTGTCTCTGGAAAAGGAGCTGCCTGGGGTGTGTTGTTGGTAGGAGGGCCTGGCAGTGGCAAGACAGCCCTGTGTACTGAGCTTTTGTGGCCAAGTTCACCTGCAAGCTTGCAGAGAGGCTTGCATCGCCAAGCTTTGGCCTTTCATTTCTGCAAAGCCCAGGACTCCGATACTTTGTGTGTTGGAAGGTTTGTTAGAGGTCTGGTTGCCCAGATCTGTCGCAGTGGACTACTCCAAGGATATGAGGACAAGCTAAGGGATCCAGCAGTCCAGAGCCTCTTACAGCCTGGGGAATGTGAGAGGAACCCAGCTGAAGCATTTAAAAGGTAACAATAACAGTGTAATAGTGTTCTGGTTTCTATGCAAAAATGAAAGTGTTTTTTATATTTTTTTAACGTTTTCTGTTTGTTTGCTTTAACTTTGTAGGGTACCTGTACTACTACTGTACATGTAGGGATAGTCTGTCGTTGTGAATACACCTGTTTACTTTGAATATTTAAGGAAACAAAAATTAAGTTGTGTATTAACAGGATATTAATTAAAACTATGTCTTTTACTTGTTTAGTAACAGAATGTGAATCTGCAGAAACTTTTTTTTCAAGTTTATGACAATTATTTATTTAGTTTTCTCACATTATCTATAATTGGTAAGGAGTATTTGTTCTTATGTTAGAGAACATCATTTAGTTATCTGGAAACTAGGCTACTTTTTCAGTGAGGGCAAATGATACATGGTACTGAACTTAGAGGAACTCACCATAGACACTATCTTTTAGTATTTATAGTATTATTTCTTTAAATAAGAAAAGTTCTCTTTGAAAAAGGTCATTGGCCATTGAGAATCTGAAGAAAATCTGCTAATATGTTTTGGGATTTATTCCCCTCTCGTGAAAAATTGGGCAATACTTTGAAATATGAAATTTATAAAATAATTAATATTTGGTATCACTTTAGTACATTTAGTGAGTGATATAAAAAAAAATTTTCCTAACCTCAATTAAACATTTTCCATGGTAAATGGATTGGTTTAAGAGGTGAGCAAGTTGCTCTTCAGAGTGATTGCAGATTCAAAATGTGTTCAAGAAAAAATGGTTTTGAATGTCACTACTTTGCTCATTATAAAAGAAGCAAGTGGTTACTTTTCTCTACTTGCTATTGCATCATTGCTCCTTGCATTACTCATTTTACTATATACTTTTTTTCCATCCACAATAAGTAGCTTTTAGCAGGCAAAAGTTTGTTTCCTGAAGATTCAAGTATACTTTGTACTGGGAGTTGGTGTGTATGTTTTTGTATATGTGTGTGTGTAGAAGTCATTTGAGCAGGATTTGGAAATTGCTATGAAGAGTGATGTTTTTAAGATATCCTCAAATCTAATGATATGAAATCTATGAATTTTGAAGTTGTACTGAAATAATATTAGCAAGCACTGTTAGTAACTGTTCTAAGCGCTTTATAAATATTCAATCATTTAATCGTCAAAACAACCTTATGAGGTAGGTACTGTCATTATTCCCATTGTGCAGATGAGAAAATTGAGGCACAGAGAACCTAAGTTAACTTATGCAAGGTTACAGACTCTTAAGAGCCAGAGCTGGGATTTGAATACATTTGAAATACATGTGTATGTATACAGATTTGTAATCACAGAAATTCTAGAGGAGTTGAGGGAAAGAGGAGGAGTTTAGAAGTTTGTGGAAGACAGAGTCTGTCTCACTTGCGGTAAGTGTAATTTTCACACTCCCCAGGTAAGTGATAGAGTGGTAGTCTATAATGATCATTATGGATAGTGGTATAGAATTCAAAACGTGGGAGGAGGAGTTTATTAAAAGTCAGCACAAGGGAAGTATTTAGAGGTGTGATACTGCAGACTTCTTCATTTATAAGTGCAGTCCAGTAAAACTCAGAACAAATCTATTACCTTTTGCTGTTGGCCATCAAAAACAGGGTGGAATCTATTTTGTCATTCTTAAATTAACCAGGAAATCTGTTGGGCAATGCCTGTAGCACAACTATAGATACCAAGTTTGATAGGCAGTCTTCAATATGGAATTACTGTTCATGGAATCAATAATGTAGTTTAATATAAAACATTACTTTTAAAGAGACTTAAAGTCTGTACATAAACATCTGTTCCTCTTGATTTTCTGCACTTTCTGAAGAGACTATCTTTAGTTGAAGAGCTGAATTTTCATTCTTATAATTTCATAAGCTACTTGGAGTTTTTGACACCTTAGAAAATCAGTTTGAAAGAGCTTAGTCTAAATAGAACTTAGTCTTACTAAATTATGTAATTGTACAACTTATTGAAATTCGTATGTAAATTTTAAATACCTTTAAACATTTAAAATTATGTTTGATAAACTTTTAAAGTTATGTCTGATAACTGTATATTTTTATATATTCCAATGTTGAACAGATTGATTTTTGCAGTATGATAGATTTTCCTATAAAAAAAAATCCTTCTACTCAGATGCTCTTCCTATTTTTTGTTCCTGTGTGAATTTTAGTTATTCATTGAAGGGAAATAAGAGACAATTAGAGCTGTGTGTAAAATCCACACCAGTACTGATTTTCTGATTGACAGAGGAGCTCATCACTTTGTATTCCCATCTGTATTGTGGTAGAGAAAGCAGAATCTTTCTACTTGGACCATTTTGGTGCTCTTATTTTATCTACTGGATCTTCTAAAAACCTGGGTCACTTTTTTTCTTCACCATTAAAGCGGTTAAGCATTAAATAAATTAGGCACTTTAGTATTGGAACAACTGTTCCTGACAATTCATAGAGATAATTTTTCCTCTTAAGATGTGAAGCTGTAATATAACCATAGTCAAATGTGAATATGAGAATACAACTGAAAGTTTAAAATAAATATTTTTGAATAGTTAGTGGCATAGATCATGTAGACCTGAACTTTGGACAAGTTGTTAATATTTTATTGTAGGTTCTGCTAGTCACTGACTTGCTAGGTAAGTCCTTAAGATAATTTTAATAGGGATATATTTTATTTAGGCAGGGATAGATGTAATTCAACAAGTAGACAATGGAGCAGATGATTGATTTCAAGAAGTTAAAATATTTTTAAGAGGCACAGAAATCAGAATAGCTAATTATAACATGACTAATGAAATATAAGCAATAAGTAAAATCTTTTCAACTTTTGATAAAAAAAACAGTCTTGTGTTGTTACTTTCTTAACATCTAACACCTGATAATATTAATGGTTTTATATATTCATGTGTGAAACAATTTAATAGTATTAGAAAATTGGTAAAGAAAAATCTCAGTTGTTCACACATCCACAAAGTTGGGGAAATTGCAGAGAAGTGATTCAGTAGTGAATACTTTTTTTCCACTCCTCTTCAATTTTACTTCCTAATGTTTTTTTCCAATTTTGTCCTTAATGATAGTAAATAGAATATGTAGTATTGCAAACTAACTTCTTATGTGAAGTCATATACCTAAGTGGTAACTTGTTAATTACCAGTTTATTGCAATCACTTTTTCTTTGTGGTAATTAAAAAAGAGTAAAAGAAACTTCATATTCTGGTTAAGAATTGCTATTTTCTTTCCCTTCTGACGTGGTATAATATACTCATTTGAATCTTAGACTTACTTGTCACAAGATTTCTTCTGACATTCATTCATTCATTCATACAGCAAAGCCTTTTGTGTTTTAAGTGCAACTCAGCTATCGATATTTCCTTGAGAAAATTCTGTGTGTTAGGCATAATTTAGCTGTGCACAAATCAGTTACTAGAACAGACAAAATACTCTGCCTTCATGGACCTTAAGTTCTTATACTGATATTTAACTATAAAGAAAATAACAGAGTAAAAAGATGTTATAATGTTCATGTAACACCTGAACATTTTACTGCTAATAGATAATATTATAATTATTTAATAGTTCTATATAATTTACTAAATATATTTGTAAAGGGAATGATAAATGAAGAAGCACATTAATTTCTATAATTTTTTTCCTTTCCATGTTTCTTAACTGGGTAAAGTGCAAAGCTGTGATTACTTTGTTTAAATTTTTTTTTCCCCATTTCTATTGATGGAACTAAGTTAATGACATTTTTACTTGTTTTGAGACCCAAAGGCTAATTTCTTTGATTTTTTTTTTATTCTGCCTCCCCCTTCAGGCTTTTATTGCAAAACTTTGTATATAACTTTGTATATTTTCTGTTGATTTGTCCTTTCTAGAGTTAAGAGTTTCTCAGTAGCCCTATAACTGTAATGTAAATTCCACTTATTTTTTCACAGAAGGATCAAGTTGTCCAAGTTAGGGAATAAAGGGGGGAAAACTAGTTTTAGGTCTTTAAACTGGAAGATAGTTAGTTTATCCAACCAGAAACTCCTTTCTGAAACTTATTGTCATGGTCCTTAACCCCAAAGGTGTTCTTTGGAGATTAGGGTGTAGAGCTGGAAAATACACAATTTGTTCTTGGTTGATATCATTCTCTAACTTACATTTCTGGTTAACAATTTGCAGGACAGTTGTGAGTTTTCTGTGTGTGATGTCAATTTTCCCAAGATGAGTAAAAAGATTTTGTTCTGTGTAGTGTTGATAGGAATGAATTAAGTATCTTTAGAGGTACCACAAATTAAATGTAAATGGAACAAAATTGTGATGAACAATTAGGATTAATGACTCTAACATTTGTGGGTTTAGCAGAAAATTGTATTAATGCTGAAAGGCTGCAAGGCTAGTTAGAAAAGGATTGGAAACCTGGAGAACAAATTCTGACATTTGTTTTTTGTTAAATAAGGATCTTTGAATGGTTGAATCTTTTTTCTAATATTTTTATCTTCTTGACTGTTACAGTTCTTCACTTGTATCTCTTTACATTTTTAGCTTCTGTTGTATTTATGCATCTATCTTCTGTTATCTTCATTAGGCATATGCTTCTTTGTGACATTATTCATGACTTATTAATTTTTTATATTTACCATAGCATTCTGAACAATGCTTTTGCATATAATAAATGCTAAATGTTATCATTTGAAAGTGTAGATAATGCAACATATCTATCTAGAATATGTTTGAACCTAATTGAAGAACAGCTGAAGCTCTTGCATAAGAAAAGAAATTGAAATGTTATATCATTTAAGTCAGTTGTAAGTGCAGACCAGACTGGTCTGTGATTATTAATTGATTAACCTGCTGTCTGCTCTTCAGCATATATGAATATGGCATTGGTCCAAATAATTTTAAGTGACCAGATGTCTATCTTCTGTCTCAAATGGATCCAAGTATTTTTGGCAAACTCAACAAAGGGGCTAAGAACAGAATGGAACTGGAATATGTGCTTTCT